ACAAGAACAGTAAAACTCTCCTAAGTCAGGCTAGCGCCTCTCGGAGCAAACACAATCATCCCAGCCTTTGCTCTGTACTCCATCATTCCGATTGCCCCAGTTCAGAAATCAGAATCTTTCCTTCCCAAGGTCCCACCCATAGGAAGAAAGCAAGCATGACAATAGCATCTGTGCTACAAGATATTCCATTTTCTGCCAGGAAATCCTAGAGCCTGTTTCTGGTTCTCGTTGTGATATTCCTGATCCATCGGGCTGACTCCATTTCCAGCACATGCCGGGTCCCTGGTCCCCTTTGGAAGGCTGCTCTGGTACTACACGCAGAAAGTCTGACTCTTTGCGACCCCATGAATCGCAGCAAGCCAGGCCTCCCTGTTCATCACCAACTCCCGGAGTTTACTCAAACTCATGCCCATCGAGTCAGTGATGCCATCCAACCATCTCATCCTCTGTCATCCCCTTCTCCTCCTGCCCCCATAAATGAGGGTAGAGAGTGAAATAATACATAAACATAAATATGAATGAAGAAAAAAAGTTTTTAATGTGCTTGATATGAAATGAACTCTGATTAAAAAAGAGAAAGATCTAGAGTAATGTGTAACTGTGTAAAAATGAGGAAAATAATTCATCCACCTCATTTGCTCATCCATACATAGGATAACTCTGAAGGACATGAAACAAACTGACAACACTGGGCCTGACTGCTGGCGGGGGAACAGCCACGAGGAAGAGATTTTGCTGCGTATACCTTTCTGAACTCTTAATTTCTGAATTGTTGGGGTATATTTCCTATACAAATAAAAATGAGTAAATAAAATACATAAAATAAAAACAAGAACAGTAAAACTCTCCTAAGTCAGGCTAGCGCCTCTCGGAGCAAACACAATCATCCCAGCCTTTGCTCTGTACTCCATCATTCCGATTGCCCCAGTTCAGAAATCAGAATCTTTCCTTCCCAAGGTCCCACCCATAGGAAGAAAGCAAGCATGACAATAGCATCTGTGCTACAAGATATTCCATTTTCTGCCAGGAAATCCTAGAGCCTGTTTCTGGTTCTCGTTGTGATATTCCTGATCCATCGGGCTGACTCCATTTCCAGCACATGCCGGGTCCCTGGTCCCCTTTGGAAGGCTGCTCTGGTACTACACGCAGAAAGGGATGCAGCTGCAGGCCTCCCTGCATACTCAGCGCTGGAAGCCAGATGCTCTTCTCCAAGGAAGGTCCCTCCAAGGGCCATGACTTCGATAGATGTACCACCCAGAGGTTTTCCTTTGTTTCTGGATTGCTTTCTTTCATGTCCCATCCTCCTAATAGTGGTATTACTTTTCACATTGGTCACTTTCCCTATCATCCTACTTTTCAGGCATAAACCTAACAGGCCCAAACATGGGTCCCCTGAAATGACCCAGAACCACTGTAAAAGGCTCAGCAGAAAGGGTACAGTAAACAGGAAACCCAGTATTCACCCACGTCTCATAAGGGTCACCAGCGACTCCTGAGTGAGCTGGCTGTCAGGATTGTACTCGTTTAACAGGAAACCTACACCTCAAAGTCCTTGTATTTCTTTAACAGGAAACCTACACCTCAAAATCCTCGGGTTTACATATGAATACTTGTAATCACTTCCATACTGACTATAGGGCAGCAGGATACTAGCTTAGGATAAATCCTGAGCTACACATAGAAAGTTTGTTCAGATCTAGCTACCTCAAAAGAAAAAGAAAAAAAAAAAGTCTTGCCTCTTTCAAACTACAAGCAATCAGGCCTTAGGCGAAGTACATTCACTAGAAAAACAGCAGCAGCATAGGATGAGAAGCAACATTCTCTTTAATCATGCTACTACACCCTCAGTGACCTGAGCTGGCCAAACATCTCACATAAAATAAACACCTTCAAGCATAGGACAATAGTGCAGCTTTAGCAGCCCTCTGCATGGCTCTCAGCCTCAGAAGCTCCAGATAGTTACAGACAGTAGTGTTGGGTCTGAACATACCAGCAAAGATCCTATTCAATTATAAGAATGAGAAAGTTGTTTCAGGTCAGGGGGCTGTTCACTGAATATCACAAGTTTCAACGGCCTGAAAAATTCCTCCACGTGGAAACCTAATGCTTGTACTAGCAGCTGGGAAGGGCTGTTATCTGGTAGGATTGAGGCCAGGGAATTAGGGCTTATGGTGCCCCATACATGAACAGCCTAATGGAAAACAAAAACAAAAACTCAGACTGAAAAATAATCCTTCAGAAAAGAAAAAATAAAGCAAACAGTAAAATGACTGCATTAGTGGTACTCGGCCCGGAAGTGGGGGCTCCCTTTCCTTATCCAGAAAGGAGCTGAACTGATCCAGCTCATTGCTAACCCAGCATTCTGCTGCCATGAACTGACTCTAAGGCTCACGCACACACACCCATACGTGGGCCCACACCCACCACAGAGACTGGTTCAGAACAAAACATTTGAGCCAAACTAGCCCAATGAGATGCAATCCTGGGGAACCTTTGAAAGAGAGAATCTCTCCCTTTCTGCAGAGGCTGCTAGGCTACTAGGATCTAAGGCTATCTTTGGCCACCTTCATCACACATGGGAGAGCCCTCCTGAGAATAAGGCTGGTACATGCATGCTCATTCGTGTCCGACTCTTTGTGACACCATGGACTGTAGCCCGCCAGGCTCCTCTGTCCACAGAATTTTTCAGGCAAGAATACTGGAACAGGTTGCCATTTCCTTCTCCAGGGGATCTTCCTAACCCAGGGATCTAACCCACATCTCTTACGCCTCATGCACTGGCAGGTAGATTCTTTACCACGGAGCCATCTGGGAAACCAAGAACAAGGATTGAAACAGAACTAAATGAGGCACTAAACCTGATTTCTAACGACATGGTGAAGCCAACTGGATCTAGTGTGATCAGCTTTTAAAACCCTAGACTGTTTCAGTTGTGTGACCTAATAGTCCTCCCTCTCTTTCCCTTCCTTCTCTCCATGGTTTTGAGTTGTCTCTGTGATTTTAAGTCTTCCGCCCCCAAGCCTGAATGTATATCCACATGTGATCACATGTCTTGAAATATTGGTAAAAACTCTAAATCTGGAGAAAATCCAGTTGCTTCTCTCTAAACATTTAAGAAGTATAGTCTATTCAATTGACACTTCACACAGATACGCTTTCAGTCTGTGTGAACTTTGCAGTAGGTCAATAATGTACCTAGGTCTACATTTCCATTTCTAGCATGCTCAATAACACAATCAGTGAGTAACTAATAAAAGCTTGCTACCCAGCTCTATGCTAAGGACTATACATACACATGATCTCCTTCCTTCCTCAGAACAATTGAGCAATTAGAGATTAGTATTACAATTCTCTAATACAATTGAGATTAGTATTACTAATCTCCATTTTATAGAAGAAGAAACAGAAGTTGGGGGGGTTCAATTACTTTTCTAAGATCACAAATGCTTTTGAACTGTGGTGTTGAAGAAGACTCTTGAGAGTCCCTTGGACTGCCATGAGATCCAACCAGTCCATCCTAAAGGAGATCAGTCCTGGGTGTTCATTGGAAGGACTGATGTTGAAGTTGAAACTCCAATACTTTGGCCAACTCATGTGAAGTGTTGACTCATTGGAAAAGACCCTGATGCTGAGAGGGATTGGGAGCAGGAGGAGAAGGGGACAACAGAGGATGAGATGGCTAGATGGCATCATCAACTCAATGGACATGGGTTTGGGTGGACTCCGGGAGTTGGTGATGGACAGGGGGGCCTGGCGTGCTGCAGTTCATGGGGTTGCAAAGAGTCAGACACAACTGAGTGACTGAACTGAACTGAACATCACAGAGCTACTGAGTAGCTGAGCTTGGATTACAGCCAAGAGATCTGACTCAAGAGCGTGCACTCTTAATCACCAGAATATAGTGTCCTCAGCTTAATGGAGATAAATTTTCTTTTGGCAATTATACTTCTTACTAATGAACATGTTCTGAAAAGCAACACAAGGAATATGCCCCACATATTAGCAGTGTCTCCATTATTAGTGTTTACCCACTAAACACAAACGTGCCAGGTTTCAGAGGACGATGATATTGATACTTAACTGAAAGGAACAATATCCATCTTTAGAGTTTAGATATGCCTGAATGGAAGCAAGGATGTCAGATCATACAACAGAGACTTAACTTGTGTTATTTTTTTTTTCTGATTTCATAACACAGTTACCCATTTTACAGGTAAGAAATGGAAGTTCAGAGAGATTAAGTAGTTAACTTGCTGAAATTCAAAGAGTTATTAATCAGTTAGGTCAGTTAATTGAGCCAAGGCATTTCCAAACCTAAAGGCTACTCTTCTAGTCACATCTCAGAATGCACAGTATACAAATAGTAGACTCACACAGAAGGTGGCTACATTAAGTTAAAGCAGACTGTTCTGAGCTCTAAGCCTAAACCTTATTCAAAACATTTATCAAAAAAAAAAAAGTATCTGGCAAGCTCCAGTCAATGGCGTATGAAGCCTGAGAAAACAAATCCAAAACAAGTCACAGGAAAACATTCTCTAAGAGAAAGCCTGTGTATAGGCTCACGCACAGGAGCCATCAGGAGAAAAGAAACACAAAATCTAGGGGTTGCAACTGGGTCACTAAAATGCATATTAAAGAATGTCTCCAGACTCCATGAACAACAGTGGCCATCCCAGCACATGATCATCTCTCACAGAAGACCTCTCGTGTCCCTCTGAGTCTTGTCTGATCCTTTCCATCCTTGCCAGCAGCCTGAGGGAGGATAAAGTCTAGGGCCAAAACAGGGTGGTTTGGGCACTACTGAAATCTGCAGCCACAGCAAAACCCGATAACTAGGTATTAACAGATCACTGAGTCTCTGATGCATAGATGTTTCTGGCACTCAGTGGCTGTCAGGTTTGGGGTTGACCAGATGGCCTGAGGCCACATTAGGATAGCTTCCTCTGATCTAAGCTTAGGATAGTATGGGTCCTCCCCAGAATGTGGTTTATCGCACTCACCTCTGCTTTTTTCTGCTTCTCCTCCTGCTCTTTCTGTTCCTTCTCCATGCCCACCAGCTTGAGCTTCAGCTCAGACACTTCGGTCATCAGATTGAGCTTCTGGGTCTCAAGAGATGTACGACTTAGTAGCTCCTGCAGGCAAAAACAGATTTCAAAATTGTAAACCTCCATGGCACTAGGAACAACTGTAACTCCATTCATAGCACATAAGGCAGTCTCTATATTGTACACTGAAACCGTTACTTGTGAGCCACACTTCTATCTGGGACAGGCCTGGGTTGATGCTGGGTCACTCAGGGATTGCACAGTCCCTGATGCTATCCTCTGTGCTCTTGAGCTACATTTCCCAAAAAAACACATTTGTCCATAGAAACCATTGTTCATTATTTCCAGGTTAGAGAAAAATAGATGGGTCGGCTCAGAGAACAAAATTTCTCCATGTCTATTTTTAAAGCAAAGGCAGCAGAGTCTCTGCACCAAAATAAACAAACAAACAAAAAACAAGCTAATGCTAATAATATATGTTTCAAAACCAAAGTCTCCATATCATCTCCTGGGCTTAGTTCAATATTCAGCCCGGTCTTTCACACGTCTCACTGTAAGACCTCACTGCAATGAACCTAGAAGGGAGCTAGGACATAAAGCAGATATCTGGTGATTATTTCCTGAATGGTTACAGCAGAACCTTCTGTGATATGTATCTTTCCTAGGAGTCCTGCCAAGCCTAAAATATTAGCAGACAACAACCTGCCATTAATGCATGCACTTACTAAGCATAAATAAGATGAAAAACAAAGGTGATAGGTGAAACACCTGCTCAGCATTACTAGGAACTATAAGGGATCTCAAAAGACCCAGACGGATGGGATGGGGAGGGAGGCGGGGGGGGGGGGGGTTCAGGATGGGGAACACATGTACACCCATGGCTGATTCATGTCATTGAATGGCAAAAACCACTACAACACTGTAAAGTAATTAGCCTCCAACTAATAAAAATAATTGGGGGGAAAAAAAAAAAGCCAGGCGGACTTCCCATAGTCCAGGGGTAACATTTCTCCATGGGCAAAAACGCAATGTTCCATGAGGTCCCAAATCCTGCCACCCGACAGACACTGGACATACAAGTCCTAGCAAGGAGACTATGATATGGCCCTCAGAGGCCCTAGGAAGGTAACCACCAAAGTGAGCAGATGGAAAGGACATCCTGCCATGGTCTGAACTTTCTGTGTCATCTTAAGCAACCCAACCCTAGTACAAAATGGTGATATCAACAATCTGACCCTACAGTCACAATTTCATGTGTTCTGAACGGTCTTCAACTCATAAAACCAAACCACATGAGACACAGATTTTAACCTGGACAAGATGATTTCCTAGGCCAAAGGCCGTCAGTATCGCTGAAAGCCAGGCTACAAACCACCCATTTGCTAACCTGAGGGAGTAAGTATCTAGAACCCAAAGAATTCAGCAAAATGAGCTTTGCACTGGGCTGAGGAGCCCAGCTCCTCCTGAGACAGTCAGATATGAAGCTGGCTTACAGGGCAAAGGTGGGGCTGCTGGTCATAAGGAGTTAGCCAGATAAGGGAGCCCAGTGTTGACAGCAGGGTGGGTGGACACAGATTCACTGAGTACCTCCTCTGTGCTCAACACTGCTGGGTGCTTTACATACATTGTCTCAATAAACCCCCACCCAGGGACTCAGCAGTCAACATTATCATCCCTATTTCAAGATGAAGAAACAGGCCCAAGATTTACTGGTCCTTTCATCTACTTGAGGCAGTTTGCAAATAGACAATTCAAGTTAAAAAAATAAATTGTAAAAATTAAAGCAGATAAGGAAAAAAGATGAAGCCAGAGTGATTCTTGGCATAAAACTCAGACCCTAAAGTTCTATTCTTTATTGATGATCAATATTATCTATATTGATGCTTTTGAACTGTGGTGTTGGAGAAGACTTTGAAGAGTCCCTTGGGCTGCAAGGAGATCTAACCAGTCCATCCTAAAGGAGATCAGTCCTGGGTGTTCATTGGAAGGACTGATGTTGAAGCTGAAACTCCAATATTTTGGCCACCTGATGCGAAGAGCTGACTCATTGGAAAAGACCCTGATGCTGGGAGGGATTGAGGGCAGGAAGAGAAGGGGATGACAGAGGACGAGATGATTGGATGGCATCACCGACTTGATGGACATGAGTTTGAGTAAACTCCAGGAGTTGGTGATGGACAGGGAGGCCTAGTGTGCTGCAGTCCATGGGGTCTCAGAGAGTCGGACACGACTGAGCGATTGAACTGAAAGTTCTATTCACAGCTAGAGATTAAGTACAATGTGTGCAAATTTCCCAGCCAGGAGTACAAAAGGAAAAAGGGATGATTCTAGAACTCCCGGTCCACAGGATAATAACAATTGCTTTGGAGTGCTGAGAACTGAGAAAATTTTCTTTTATGACACTTCAGTCATTTGTTCAACTATCAGATGCCAAGGCCTAGGGATAGGAGAGCTAAAAACACAGCTCCTGTGGAGTGCTTGAGTCTTTTAAGATGGTATCTATGCAGTCATCTATTGACTAGCGGTCAAGATATAAGACAATATCTTGACCTAGATATTGACCCAATATACAATATCTTGACCCAATCCTACCAAGACAGGCAGGATTCAAAAAAGCTTCAGAAAGCATCTCTCTTGAAGATAAGAATCTACTCTGCTTTCTTTATTGCCAGAATCCCTCTGGCTGTTTTAACTGCCAGGTTGTAACTGGTCATACCAATGTTAAAGTTGACAAAGACAATGTCCAAATTGGTTGCATTCAAGTTCCAATAGCATTCCAACTGGTAATGCCAGGGTTCTGATTGGTCATACTAACCTTCCAAGTGGACGTTTCAATTAGACACACCAAAGTCTTAAGTAGAAACCTGAGGTTGCTTAATTTCACATGGTCTACTGTTAGTAAAACTTCTACATACTCTCTCTTAGCTTGCATCTATTAACATGAGCTTCCCCCTTTCATTATCATCACCCCAGTCTTTGTCATTAAAATTGAGAAGTACCATCCTAGTCCCTGAACTCAAAATCAACCTTCGCCAGCCTTATCCCAGCCCAGCTCCACCTCCTCATCTCCAGGCCCAGCACGGCCTCCAGCCATTGCTTTGTACTAAGACCTCTATCCTAGTTGTGTGTGTGCTTAGTCACTCAGTCATATACAACTTTTTGCAACCTCATGGACTGTAGCCTGCCAGGCTCCTCTGTCCATGGGATTCTCCAGGCAAGAATACTGGAGTGGGTATCCATTCCTTTCTCCTAAGGATCTTCCCAACCCAGGGACTGAACCTCGGTCTCCTGCATTGCAGGCAGATTCTTTACCATCTAAGCTACTACCTGACCCTCATCTTGATCCAGAATACATGTTTGCTTCTAAAATCTTCAACTCTGTGCTTTTACTTATTCAAAACATCTTTAATTTTGACTTCTGTGGCTACTAGTTACTTAATAACTCCCTATTTTCGTAGTTTATCAACTTCCTTCATGCAGTATTTGCCTCCATAGCCACCATATACCTTAAGGCTTATCATTTCCATTGTACCATTTCTGCACCAGAAAATTCTCCCTCCCAACTCATTCCTGCCCCTAGGTCTGAAGTGTGTTTGCTTCACCAGTGTGCCCAGTCTGTGCCAAACCTCAAAGACTTTTGCCTATGTTTCCACTCCCCATGGCCTGAGAACTGCTGGTGAAAGTCACTTAATGATGCCAATTTGTTTCCACGCAAATTTACTCTATCTAATTACAGCTGATCTTCCAACACTGCCTGGCAAAACTTGCATTCATCTCTGGCTGGTTTCTTTCAGAGATTGTTCCAAATCTTTTCCATTCTCTTTGAGCTCTAAACCCCACCCTATTCCCCTCTTCTCCTCAAATAACCTCTCCTCATATTTACTGAAAAGATTTTTAAAGATCATCTGATCAGTCATTGAACTTATATCCTTTTGTTTAAAAGTTTCCTGGAATCATCCCTCATTTCTCTCTCTTGAATCATGTCCCAGAGAAAGCAAGCCCACACCTCCTTTCTGAGGCTAGGCTGACACGACTGAATGCAACCGTCAGAACCTCTGTGACATTCTACCATCTTAAGAACTGTTCCAGAGTTTGACAGAAAACAACAAAATTCTGTAAAGCAATTATCTTTCAATTAAAAAATAAATTAATTTTTTTTTCTTTCCATTTATTTTTATTAGTTGGAGGCTAATTACTTCACAACATTGCAGTGGGTTTTGTCATACATTGACATGAATCAGCCATGGAGTTACATGTATTCCCCATCCCGATCCCCCCTCCCACCTCCCTCTCCACCCGATTCCTCTGGGTCTTCCCAGTGCACCAGGCCTGAGCACTTGTCTCATGCATCCCACCTGGGCTGGTGATCTGTTTCACCATAGATAACAAACATGCTGTTCTCTCGAAACATCCCACCCTCGGCTTCTCCCACAGAGTCCAAAAGTCTGTTCTAAAAAAAGAAAAGAACTGCTCCCAAGCCCAGTAAGTTTCCAGGTTGCACATGAAAAGCATATGTTAAAAGACACATTGTTTCCAGGGTTTTCTTCTGAACTGCCCCACCTGACCCACCTTCCCATGGCTGAACAGTCCTCCAGGCCATCCTCACTCAGCTTGAAGGAAGACTCGGGTTACTCCCTGGTTAATCAGTAGCGTTGGGCTTTGTTCTGAGTCCTAGTCCTGTCTCTCCCTCTAGCCAGTAGAACAGAGTGAAGCCTGCTCACAGGGACCTGGGCCCTCCCTCACCTCTGTACTGCCTTAGAGGAAGTTCCCACCAAGTCTGCACTCCTCTAGGGTAGGGCCATTAATCATCCAATCTGACAGGCATTTAATCTCTTCCTCACCATCAGCTTCCATCCCTCAGGCTATAAACATGATCAAATTTCTGACATTTGAAAGAACCTTCCCTCCTGACCTCCTTCCCCTCCAGTGACCACCATCAGCTCCCTAGTGCTTGGACTGGGCAGGCATACTCTGTGTGTGGTGTGAGTGTGAACACTGGCTCTCTCTCTCTCCACTCCCTTCTTCCCCTTACAGCTAAGCCCTGAACAGAATAATCTACTTCTTGCTGCCTCTTCCTCATCTTCCTG